TCTGGTCAAATTAAAATAAATAAAAATGAATAAATGAATAAAGTTAAATAAAATAATTTTAAAAATATGTATCATTGTAACAGCCTTTGCAGGGTCCCACGCTCTAAGGTGCTAGCCCTGGACGAGGGTGAGGAGGGTCCTCCCCTGGGAGTTTCGAGCTTGAGATTAACTGCGGAAGTAGGAAGAGCCAGAGAGTGTCATTTACATGTCCTTTATAGCAACCTATCATTTTTGAGCATTTATTTTTAATTATTTATTTATTTTATTATTATAGTTATTATTTTTAAGTTTGCTATAGGGCACATATGCTCACCAGAGAGAGAGAGAAAATGAGACAGCAAGCCACCAGGTCCAGGACTCAAACCTCAGTCGGCCATGTGGGAATCCAGTGTCTTAACCTAATGTCACACGGTCCCATTTAAGCACTACTTCAACACCAAGACCTTTCTGCGGTGTGGGCCATCCATTGCAATATTTTAAAATATTTACTTACTCATTTAATCTGAGAGAGAGCAAAAAAGGGAGAGACAGAGACACCCCCAAGGGTCTCCAGGCCACCATTCACGCCCAGTCTCTACCAGTGCAGGTCATGATGTGAGCAGGCATGCTCAGGAGGCTGAGGACGAGTGAGGAGAGCCCACCCTCTGCTGGGTCCACGGCAGTCCCCCCTGGGGTCCCAGTGTGGTGCTGACCAAAGGCTAAGCTGCGGGTGCACACAGTCACCACTTTATGAGCACAATGGCTCTTGAGGAAGTCAGATGCTCTGTTGCTATTGACGGACAATGGAGACAGGAAGAAAAGCCCATCTGAAATCTGACGGAACAGAGGGCTCGAGCTCAGTACTGCGGTTTGAGCCCCTGACCTGAAGGCTTGAACATCACACACACAGGATGCAGGTGTGTGCTCAAAACCCCAAGAGGAGAATGGAGACGGGGCTACAACTTAATCATTCCCCCTGGTAGGTGGTTTCTCTCTTTTCCTCTCATTTTCTGTTTCACACTAGCAAGTGCATGCGTCCTATTACAAATACTCTCCGCCCAAAAAATGATTGAAATCCTTGGGGTCCAGATATCACACACTCGGTGCCTAGAAGACGTGTCTCCCCTATGTGTTATCTGACATCCTGACATAACCAACCTTGTTAAAGGCCAGGGAAAAAAGAGAACCGAAAAGGAGTTACAAAGGGATCCAGATCTTTGACCGGAGTCATTTACCAGCTCTTACCTTCTTAAACCCAAACTTCAGAGAATTAAAGAGACTCCTCTATTGGGTCTCAGGTCACATCCAGACCTTCCCCCCGGGAGTCATGTTCGATGGCGAGGAAGGTCAGTAACTTGAACTATTGAGCGTTTGCTCCTCCTGAGCACAGAGCTCAGCGCCCTGCATCATTTGTCCCAAACACAACTCATCGTAACCTTCCAAAATAAATGTGGGATTTACAAACAGCCCCACGTTACAGATGAGGACACTGAGGCCCAGAAACACTAACTTGGCACACCTAGGTCCATCTGAATGGGAAAGCTGCAGTGGTAACCACTGTGAGGCCCCACACCCTTGGGGAGGAGCTGGATTCCATCATGAGACAGACAAGAGGAGAGCTCTCTCCAGGACAGTCACGACTTGTCAGTGGCTCCTGGCTATTCGATCACATTAAGACCGGAAGGGTCCTAGGGTAGCTGGTGGAGGTGACTTTGGAATGATGAGGCTCACTGACTTGTACACACAGGGAGGTGCAATGCAAACACATGGAATCTCCCCAGTTGCTTAACACTCTGAGCTAGCCAGAGGGTAGCCAGCAGACGGGCATCCATCTTTACGGAGACAGCGGGGGACTGGCACTGAGTTCCAGAGGCAGGGGAGAGGGGGAGTTTCAGGAAGAGCTGCAGAAAGGTAAGAAAGTGAAATAGCTCTGAGGATGTTGGTGAAAACAAGGGCCTCAGAGGAGACACACCATGCAGATGTGAGAGATGTGGGTTCTGACCTCTACCTGTTTTCCCCAGACTTTTCTTCCTGGCTCTTCCCACCTTATCACCTATTCCATGTCCTAGCTATCTCCCACCACAGATCTTGATGCAGGGAACCTGTCTCCAAAAGATTAAGAAAATACAAAAAAAAAACCCCTTATTGATGAAGCATCCTCCAGGATTTTGTGTAGCTGGGGTGGCCATTCAGAAGTAGATGCTGCTGTGATGGGTTTTGTTCCTTACGTGGTAGGGCCCAGGCTACAGGCAGGAGAAGGAGAAGTGCTCTGCAGAGTAGCAGGAAGGAGCACCATGTTCATGGACAGTGCTGGTTCCAGATCTAAGTTGCAAACGGCTGGATCCACTCAGCTTAGTTTAATGAGACAACGAATGTATTTAAACACAAGGCCTAAGAGACAAACGTTGGTGTTACATGAACAGGAAAATGTCCCACATCATAGATGGAGGCAAGTTCTCTAGTATATGTGCTGCCGAAATAAGCATGAGGCAAGTTCTTTAGTAAAGACACCCCTGGGAACCAGCAGTTAGCATAATGGCTATGTCGCTGGACTCCCACATAGTCGACAGCGGTTCGCGTCCCGGACCTGGTGGCTTAGAACTCACGCCGGGCTTGTGTGCGTGCGTGCCCAGGATCCCGAGAGGAGAATGGAGGAGAAGGGATTGCGGCGTGACCATCCCCCCTGGGGGGTGATTTCTCGCTTTCTGTCTCTATGTCTCTCTCTGTCTGTCTGACGAGCGCACGTGCCCTATAGCGAAAATCTCTCTCCCCCCAAAAAAAGACACCCCAGCTGCCACTACTCAGCCTAGCTGACGCTAACTAGGTGCCAGAGACCACCCTGACACCCCACATGATGCCAGTGATGGTGGGGGTAAAAATGAAGGTGAGGATGATGTGAAGATGAGGGTTAGGGTTCAAGCATCTAGTTCCCACCCCAGTCCTAGAGCCAGTCCTGGGCAGAGCTGTGCTTGTGCACTCATTTGTTCATCCACAATATTCGTGGACTGTCTCCTTTGTGCCAGGATCTGTGCTGAGGGAAAAGGGGGTGAAATAAACAGGCACACTGTTCTTGCTTTCATGGTGCTTATAGTTTATTGAATGAGACTGTGCTAACACAAGGGACCCATGGCGTGAGGAAGATGGAAGGGCTCAGCTGAGTTGAATAGGGGAGTGAAGAGAGCAGGAAGAGCTGATTCAGAGGGCACCGCAGCCAGCCCTGAGTGGGTCTCCTCAGACATCAGAATCTCAGGGCAGCCCAGGTGCCAGGTTCCCTGCAAAGAGAAAGGAACTAGGTGACTGTCATCATTGAAGCCTTTGAACTGGTGGCAATATGCCCTGAAAGATCCTGGACCATCCAGAAATGAGCAAGCTGGTCCTCCCCACAGGCAGGGTGACCGGCAGAAGGAAGTGAGTTCACCAAGCCTGGGTAGAGGTGGCTCAGGAGCACTGCAGCCCCACAGAGCAGGGAGGCTGCCTCAGTGACCCCATCTGGGGAAGGGGAGCAGGTGAAGCAGCTCAGAGGTCTCGGGGCCCCTTCAAGCCATGATCTCTGCCTGTCTGGCTCATGCAGGAAGTGCCTGACCTGTGGTTTCATGCAAACATTTTCATTTACTCCTTGAAATGCTTGAGAACTATCAGGTCAGAGGAGACACACCATGAGGTCTGAGAGTAGCAGGTCCCTAAATTCTCCTTTCCCCAAACCAGCCCTCCTGCCATCTCTGCACCTTACCCCAGGCTCAGCATTCTGATTATATTTCAGCGCAGGTCTTGACGCATTCATCCTTCGTCAGGAAGTTGTTCTTATATTCTGCAGACTGGCAGTACGTAAAAGGCAGGCAGAGCTTGGCGCTGGGGTTGAAGTAGTACCTGGTCTGCATATGGATGGGAGGAGGCGCCTGGCAGTACAAAGGGTGTGAGGCTGAAGGGAAGAGAGAGGGCCCTTGTCAACTCAAAGGACGGCCAGGAGCATAGTCGACACAGCGGGCAATGGCAACAACAGGCGTGTCCAGCAACAGCGAATAACAGAAGTGGAAGTGGGAGCCTGCAGGTGATGGCCTGCTTTCTGGGGCATTCCAACAACCACTGTTAGGGGTAACAATGATATGGTGACAATGATAGTCCTATATGTCTTTACTGAATTTTTTTGAGGGGTTTTTATTATAGGGTGTGTGCACTCTCCAGAGAAACAGAGAGAGACAGAGAGACAGAAAACAAGAAATCACCTCCCTGGCAGAGGGATGATGGCCACACGGCAATCCCTTCTCCATTCTTCTCTTGGGATCCTGGGCATGCACGCACACACCCTGGCGTGAGTTTAAGCCACTGGCTCCAGGACCCGAACCGCAGGCGACTACGTGGGAGTCCAGGGATACAGCCATTATGCTAACTGCTGGTTCCGCCTTACTCAGTTATTATGCATTGTTTGGCATAATGCATGAGCTTTGCTTCA